CCACGCCGGCTCTGACAAGCTCTCATTGTAATGACAGCTGGTCCCGGCCAATAGAAAACAGTTGGGCGGAGCTAGCTGTCACTGCTAGCTCCGCCCAATAATTTTCTCCTTTTCCCCCACTTTTTTTGACTGTTTTTCTATTCTGCTCGGTACCACAGAGGTACCGAGCAGAATAGCCGAGCCAAATGACGTTCGGTGGCATTCGGCTATTCACTCACTGCTGTTTGGCCTCTATGAGAATAGGCCGAACAGCAGCAAGTAGCTTGCCGTAGGTTCGGCTCATCCGATCCAAATGTTGGATCAGGTGAGTCACACTCCTTCTGCACCACCGAAGCCAGCCGCAGCAAGCTGATGTACGGATGATTTTAGTCGGTGTACGGCTGAAATCAGCCGTACAAGCCTGAAGTGAATAGCCGAACAGCTTCGGCTCACTTCACTTTGGGTCGGTTATTCACTCAGCTGCCTACGGCAGCTGTGTGAATAACCCCCTTAAAGTTAGTATGACTGCAGCAAGCCTATAGCTTCACTATTGAACTCCCAAGCCAAATACAAATTTTTGGCAGTTTTTGCCATGTTTCTGCCTTATATCTGCTTTTGCTGTTACCTGGGTACTTGGTGCCCAGCCTTTATTCTTATTATGCTTGGTGGAATTTTAAAAGGAAGTGGCTTAGGCTTTTCTTTTTGCCCCATTATCTCATAAAGCAGGATTGCCAGGAGCTTCACAAACCATTCGGCACTATTTTGTATCATTTTCTGCTCTGTATTTACACACTTTTCTGGTTTTTGATTCCATCAACTTGAAAAGGACTTCCAGTTTGGAAATCCAAATTTCAAAGGTTTGTGAATATTTTAAAAAGTTAAACTGAATCACAACTGATTAAACTTTTGAAAAGTCTACTCATCTCTACACTTCGGTCATGAAGAATATTAAGTTTACATAAGAGCACTGCACTCAAGACTTGGCACATATTTATTATTGTTTGATATAATATTCAGTACCCCAAAAAACAATCATCTTATTATTATTATACCATTTGTCTACCTTTTAGTTATTTAAGAGTATGCAATTGACAGAAAATGTACCTTGATTAACAGTTTACATAATAAATCAATAAAAAGACCATTAAAAGTATGTATAAAACAACACAATGGAGTTTTTAACTTATAAATGAGGTGTCAATGCTGTGTGTGGTGCAGCAATTGTTTACTCATTGTTAGGCATTTCTTATTTTGTAGCTAGAGAAGGCAACACCGAGGTTTCTTACATAAATAAATATAGCAATTTATTTACCACAATTTATCTAATGTTTTTCCAGCTCAGCTAAATTGCACATTGTCAGCAGGTCAGTAATTAATATAAATTACCTAGATTATGTTGCTCAGGCAATTGGATAATTTAAGATAAATTACTGCAAGTTGCCTTAACATGATTAAAATAATATGGTCTTAAGGTGTGCTTAAATGCCTAACTGTTTATGTAATTTCAGAATCTAGAAGTATATAGAGGTGTATAGCTGCTTAAATGACCCTGTGTATAGCCACAATTAGGAGAACGTGTGTGTGTGTATGCATATATATCAGTATCAATTTTTTATTTTATTTTTAATTTACCCTTTATTTTAGTCCTAGTGATCCTCTTATTATTAACCATGCTCATGCTCATTCTTGTTATACCTTCCTTTTTCACCCTGTTGTTTTTTTTAACTGCTTCTATGTGGATCACATATTACTGTGTTATCGTTTTGTAATGTATAAAAAAACCAATACAAATTTAAAGAATACAACTTTACTCCATTTGTACATCACTTTAGCATGTATTTTACCAGTTTTGCCAACAATATAACTATTTGGGATCTGCGTAAGTTGGCCAAGTATGTTTTTTTTCTATTTTATATGCATAAACTATAGAAAAATTCTTGGAAAAAAATACCTCCAATATAAAGACTGATTTTTGTCAATTCAATATGCACATAAAAAGCAAAAACTGTCCTGCCCTAAAAGGGTGAAAAAAACCTGTTTTAGGTAAAAACATTTCCATGACTTATGTGGTAATCTTTTACATGGATAAACCCTACATTTAATTGTAAGCTAATGTGTGGGCAACATATTATAATGTTACTGTGGATGGTAATATGCCCTGCCAAAATGAAAAACTAAAGGCTACTGGCACCACCTTACACATCAGAAACTAGATACAGAGCTCCTCATTTGTGTGTGTGTGTTCATGGAAAGACTTCTGTGGTGGATCTACTGTGTTTTTTTCTTTTTTTTTGCTACAAAATACTGTCGAGGAATAGGACACAACTGCTTGCTATAACAAAGATGCATAGTCCAAGGCCTTTGCAGAAGGTGACAAATAAAATTATAATTATATAATTAAGTCATATAAAGCAGAAAGAAACATTTCTGCAAAATATGTCACTAAAACATTCCAGATGTTACAGATGAGAGTACATTTTCTGTTGGAGATTCATCATTTTACAAGTTACTGAAGATGGAGACTGGAAATGAAGAATATCACAGCACACTACAGGGAAACATTTGGCCTGTAAATACTGTATATACTATTGTTACAGTTGCCCTTGGCATTTGACATAGGCTCCCCCAGGGTGCAAAGTCTAAGGGGACTATTCCCAAAAGGGTGAAGAGTTTGCAGCAGTGAACAATTTAGGCCAAAATAGCTGCTTTGGAAAAAAATTCCAATTCAGCTCACTTTCCAGTTCAGCTATGTTGTCCTAGATTGTTCACTTCTCTGGCCTTCTCCAAACTCTTCACCCTTTTGTGAATAGGCCCCTAAGTATCAGTTGGTCTTTACTAGAGCACCCCACAAGGGATGATGGCCAGGAAACCTAAAAGCCCCAAGCTTTTGTTGCTGAAAACTGGCACCCACCAGGTCATAGCGCAGAGGATTACCCCACCAAGGGGTGGCAGGAATGGAGGATGGAAAATGGAGGATGAAGATACAGTGGCAGGAGATTAGAGATTAGTCAGATTAAAGCAGGGGATGAGGCAGGTGGTTAGCAGAATGCAGTCAGGTACAAGCAGGGGCTGAGGCAGGTTGCTATCATGGACTAGTCAGGTACAAGCAGGGTTTTGACAGGCTGCTAGCAGAGGGTAGTCAGGAAGTTCATGTTAGCAGTAAATAGACAGTAGAAAGGACAGAAAATGAGTGAGTAGTCAGGCAATACAGGTCGTCAACAATCAGGCAATAGCATGCTTCAGTGTTATAGCTCTAAGGCAGCTGCTAAGAAGATACAACACCAGCCTATTCAAAGGCTTGTGCTTAAATACTCTCTAGGCAACTAACAGCATTATTAATGTGTGCATGGAAAACCAGGACTCAACTATAAGAAGAGTGACAAGGAAATCCTGGTCTTTTACTAGGCAAAGGGAAATGGAACAGGGCTGGAAGCAAGCAATGTCTGAACAGAGCTGAACAAAACTGTAATACTCCCCCTTGAGCATCAGCCCCATGCCCCAGGGCTAAGCTTGTCCAGATGAGTATGATTAAAATTGTTTGCAGGCTCCCAAGAGTTTTCTTCATTGCCAAACCTTTTACATTTGAATAGATCCTGAAGTTGCCCAGTGACTCCTCTTGAATGCTCAATAGCTTCAAACTCCTTTGTCAATAGGACCAGGGAGAAGTTGTGATAAGTAGAGGCATAAGACAGGATGAATCCCTCTACCAGTTAGATTTGGCCACTAGAAGTTCCATAATAAAAAGTCTCTCTTTCCTAATAACAGTCCTTAGAAAAACTAGACACAGTCTACAGAGTTAGAAAGTGAGAGTGAGACTGTGTGGAGTAGCCATGTCAAAAGGAAGTGACAAGGACACTACATTTCGAGAATGATGAACAGGTATTTTCTGTACTTGCTAAAAATAGAAAACTAATGCAGTCACCATATCTAAGGACAGTAAAGTGGATGTTCCTTATACACCAAGCTGCAGTAAAGACTATTGTCAATGGTAACCAGAGCAAGACACAGAGGAGAAATAATCTGTGTGTGTGGAGCCATTGAAACCCTGCGTAAATTAGTGCGTGGGTGGATGCTAAGGCTCTTTTGCATTAAAATTCTTGAATGCAAGGAGCCATAGATTATGATTTCTATACTGAAGTGCACTAATTTCTGGGAAATCTGAACACAAACTTCTGAAAGAAGGCAGTCCCAGCATAGTTGAGTCCTACCTACCCTATGTTATATAATTCAGCTAACTGTAAAAAGCTGAATGCACCTTTAGAAGAATCACTCATTCCAATTCTGTGCTGTTGTAAGTCCTGGTCTTCAGAAAAATGCAGGGGTTGACGTTCAACAGTTTGTGTTCTGTTTTCACATTGATTACATAGGTGTGCTTTAGTATATAAATCATCATTTATGGCTTTTACTGCTGAAGGCACTGTATTAAATAGGTATGAGTATGTAGAGAAGGTGTCATGTAAGCGCTAAGTCTTGGTCTTTAGAGCGTCTCCTTTTTGCAGTGTTACATAATGAAGATATGCAGACCAACTGGAAAAAAATTTAAACATTAGCCTTGGTCTATCATAATAGCTCCCAATGCATAGGGAAAGAAAACCAGAAGAGTAAATATTTGCAAAACTGAAGCTGTTTGTTGTTTCTGTGCACTTTAAATGAGCTAATGTATTTCAAAAGTACAGTTGTTTTTATTGTTATGTTTTATTGTTAAGCTTGTTATATGTACTATACACAACTGTGGAAGAATCAGGCTTTTTCTTTAAACCTGATCAGAATCCTATGTAATTAGGTTCAACTGTAATTTAACCAAATCATCCATACAACATATGTATGCAGAGCTAGTAAATTTATATCCAACAGGGCAGACAGATGGGAAATGCAAGCATATGTGGCATTTTCACTGATTTTTATTTGGAAAGAAGTTATCTTCCTTGTTGTTTTTTCCCCAACATACTTTTGTCTTGTAATTGAATCAAAGTCTAGGATCATTTGTTGATTCAGTCATTAACATTCATTTTTTGCTTTAGTTTAACAGCAATGCCCATGATGTCAGCTGCTTCAACCATCTTGTCCAGGCAAATGTTCGTAATAAAAAGGTTCTAAAAGAAGCAGTCAATAATATAACAGCCAAAGGGACAACAGACTACAAGCAAGGTTTCAAGTTTGCTTTTGACCAGCTCCGAAATGTAAGTATTCAAGTTTTTAAGTAAGTCCCACAAATATAAAATAAGAAACTTACAAACATAATGTTCATTTTAAGTTACCAACAACATGGT